ATTAATTAATTCCTCAGAGTAATTACAATATTACCCTTGCCTGGAAAAGACCATTTTACCCCTAGAACGTCAAAACATAAAGTTTCCTATTTTAAGTCCGGTAAAGACTTCATCGATTAAATCTTCGTTTTCCCGAGCCTTACTTGGTTGGTTCCAAACATTCCAAGCTTAACTAACTCCCCAAGGTAGTTGACTTGGTCGTGGTAAGTGTTTTGAGGTCTGCATCTACGCATATTAGTACGCGTCAACCTGGGTTTAATCGCAAGAATTCTTGACACCCTAAGTCTTGACCCTTTCCATTTTTCGGGTTGTTACATTATCTCCCTCCCCCCCCAGGAATATTCGTCCCTGAATTACACTATAATTTCACATCGTAATGCTAGTCAGATCATAATAAAATTACTATGCACAGTAAACTAAAAGCAACAAAATACGGAGAGATATGAAAACATAGGCTTAAGAGTAGGAAGTCTAACATCAAGAGCTGAAAAGATGAGGGTAGCGGGATCACATATCGGCCTCAGCCTCCCACGTAGCACCCTCAACAAGATGATTTCTCCACAATACCTTCACTGTGGCAATTTCCTTATTCCTTAGCCGCTTGACCTATCTGTCTAAGATCTCAATAGGTACCTACTTAAAAGACAAGTCTTCACGAACACCCAAACCTTCAACATGTAGGATTGATGATGGATCACCTAGGCACTTCTTCAACATAGAGACATGAAAGAGTTGATGAACAGAAGCTAGCTCCGCAGGCAATGCTAACTCATAGGCCACCTCACCAACACGATGTAGTATCTCATATGGCCCAATATACCTCGGACTTAGCTTCCTTTTCTACCAAATCTCATCACCCTTCTCATAGGTGATATCTTCAAGTAAACCTGGTCACCAATATAAAACTCTAAGAGTCATTTTCTGTTATCCGCATATCACTTCTGCCGAGTGTAAGCAGTAGACAACATGTACATAATCCCTCTGACCTTCTCTAAGGCCTCATGAATGATTGGTAGACCAAAAATGGATGACTCTCCAACCTTGTACTACCCAACTGCAGATCTACACCTCCTACCATAAAGTGCCCCAAATAGAGATATCTCAATGAAGGAGTGATAGCTATTATTATATGATAACTCTATCAAAGGCAGATGGTCATCCCACTTACCTCTAAAGTCAATCACACACTCTCTCAACATGTGCTCCAATGTCTGAATGGTGCTCTGCCTGCCCCTCTGTCAGAGAATGAAAGGCAAAGCTAAGCTTCACCTGCGTGCCCAAGCTCTTCTGGAAATATCTCCAGAAATATGAAGTAAACTGAGCTTCTCTATCTAAATTAATAGACAAGGGAATTCCATGCCATCTCACAATATCATTAATGTAGTGTCTCACATAATCCTCAGATTTGTAAGTAGACTTCACAGGGATAAAGTGGGAAGAGTTAGTCAATATGTCCACAATAACCCATATGGAGTCATGCAGCCTCCTAGTCCTCAAAAAACAAACCACGAAGTCCATATTAATGGCCTCCCACTTCCAAGTCGGAACCTCAGTAATCTGAGTCAGACCACCAGGATTAAGATGCTCTGCCTTAACCTACAGACAACTAGGACACTTGGTTACGTATTCTGCAATGTCCTTCTTGATACCATCCCAGCAATAAATCTGCTTAAGATCATGATACATCCTTGTGGAACCTTGATGTATGGAATATATAGAGCTATGGGCCTCTACAATAATCTTGGTCCGCCAATCATCAACATCTGGTACACAAAGCCTGTCCTAATACCTAAGTATGCCATCACCTCCCACAGGGAGAGACTCATTAATCTTCACTAGTACTAATCTTTCAGCTCCATCAACACAGGATCGAGATGTTGACCTTGCTTTACTTCAACTACCAAGGATGATTCATAACTAGGATGAACTGAAATATCCCCAGTAGTAGAGTCAACCAACCGCACACCTAGTATGTGTACATCTTTCACCAGCTCCTTCTTCTCATCCTCAATGTGGGCTGTACTTCCCATGCTCATCCTTCTCAACGAATCAGCTACAACATTATCCTTACCTGGATTGTAGTGCACATTCATGTCATAATCCATCAATAACTCCAACCATCTCCGCTGACGTAGATTAAACTCCTTCTGTGTGAACACGTATTGGAGACACTTATGGTCTGTGAACACATCCGCATGCACCTCATACTGAAAATGCCTCCACAACTTCAGTGCAAACCGCAGCTGCCATGTCCAGGTCATGAGTGGGATAATTCTTCTCATGAACCTTGAGCTGTCTAGAAGCATAGGCTATTACCTTATCAGCCTTCATAAGAACACAACCTAAACCAACCCTAGATTCATCACAATAAACCGTTTAATTTTCACCACACATAGGAAGCATAAGCACCAGGGCTGAAGTGAGTCTGTCTTTGAGCTCCTGGAAACTCTTCTAACAAGTCTCCATCCATTAAAACATGGATTTCTTCTTCGTCAAAACATTCAGTGGAGATGCAATTGAATAAAATCCCTCCATAAACATGTGGTAGTAACCAGCCCATCCTAGAAAGATACGGATGTCAGTCGGAGTAGGGGGCTTTGTCCAGTTCTTAACAACTTCAGTCTTTGTGGGGTCCACCTCTACACCTTGATCTTACACAACATGACCCAAGAAGGTCACTAATCTCAGCCAAAATTCACACTTGCTGAATTTGTGATACAATTGATGTTGTCTAAGTAATTGCAAGGTTAGTCTCAAATGGTGTTCATGCTCTCCCTTGGTATTAGAGTAGATGATTATGTCATCAATGAATACTATGACAAAAGATTCAAGGTATTCACGGAAGATGCTGTTCATGAGATCCATAAATGCAGCAGTTGCATTTGTGAGACTAAATGACTTGACTAGAAACTCATAGTGACCATAGTGGGTACAAAAGGTTATCTTTGGTATATCTCCATCCCTAACCCTAAGTTGATGATACCCTGAACGAAGAAAAATCTTAGACAAGAAACTAGACCCTTGAAGCTGATCGAACAAATCATTTATTCTGGTGAATGGATACCAGATTTTGATATTGACTTTGTTGAGCTGCCGATAATCGATACACATTCTAAGGGTCCCATCTTTTTACTTTATAAACAACACTGGAACGCTCAAAGGGGATATGCTCGGCTAAATAAAACCCTTATCTGTGAGATCTTTTAACTGCAACTTCAACTCTTTGAGTTCTATTGGATCCATTCGATAAGGAGGAATTGAAATTGGTTTAGTATCGGGTTGTAAGTCGATATTAAAGTCGATCTCTTGAAGGTGAGGGACTCCAGGCAAATCTTTAGGAAACACATCTACAAACTAATTCACTATAGGAACTGAGTCTTTGGAAAGAATGCCATGATGTAAATCAGTAACACTCACAAGATGACATAGTAACCCCTTGGATATCAATTTGTTGTCCTTAAGATTTGAAATCAAGGGATTGGGACAACTCGAATTGTACCCCTCCCACACTATCTCTTTTTCATTATTGAAGCGAAATGTCACCACTCTACTACGACAGTCCAAGCAAGCATAACAACAGTGAAACAAGTCCATGCCAAGAATAATATCAAAATCATGCATGGGTAACTCAATAAAGTTTGCGCACATAGTCTTACCACTTACAACTATTGGGCAATTCTTGCATACCGTATTAGTTCTTACATTTTCTCCTAAAAGTGTACTATCCACTATAGGATCATGCAAAACTTAAGGTAATACTTCAAAAGTAAGGGCAAGCAGAGGAGTTACAAAGGAAAGCGTAGACCTTGGATCAAGTAAAGCATAAACAGATGTTGAGAATACTTACAACATACTTGTAAACACATTATCGGACTTCTCCTTATCCTCCTTGCCCTTCAAGGCATAGAATATGTTCCTCTTGAGAGGCTCGGATACTATTGCACCCTATGGGTAAGGCCTAGGTTGAGTACTACCTCCAGACTGATCTCTGTTCTGTGGACAGTTTCTGACCATGTGTCCACTCATACCACAAACGAAGCGGGCATTTATGACCTGTCTGCACTCTCCACTGTGATATCGACCACACTTAGTACAATTCTTCTTCGGACGCTACATCTCACCTCCATTGCTCTTCTTAAGGGCAGGCCTTCCTCCTCTAGGTGTAGCACCCCTCTTAGGATTAGAATTCCCAAAACTCTGTTGCCCCTCTTTGGACCTCGGTTGCTCACAGATGAAAAAGTTGTTTTTACAGCCTCCATGGCTGGGACCTGCCTGATCTTGAGGCCTAGGCCTCCTAACATCATGAACACCTCTCTTTTTGCGATTGTCCTCTACTTGCTGGACATGCACCATCAACTTGGAAAGATCCATATTATCATGGAGCATCGCAGATCGACTCTCCTCCTCTAGGTCTTCATTAATTTCTGTGAGGAACCTTCTCATCTCATCCCTGCCTTTAGAAACAAGGGAAGTATCATAGCTGGATAATTTCAACAAAGCTCAGTATTCTCAAAATTCTTGCTATTAAATACTAGGGAAAGTAACATAGCGGTATAGCTTACCAAACATCAGGGAATACTCCCTGAGTGTCATATAGCCTTGTTTAGGGTTGATGAACTCTTAAACTTTGGTGTCCCTCATCTCTCTGGGAAGAATTCTCTCCCGAAATGATTCTTGAACAGCTCCCATATGACAGGCACTCCACCTAAGACACGACTATCTTGCCACATCTTGCACCAAGTCTGTGAAACATCCTTGAGCTGATAGGAAGCAAGCTCAGCCTTCTTAATATCAGTGGTCCCCATAGCCACCAGGATCTTATGCACCTCATCTACAAACTCTTGAGGATCCTCCGATGTCTTAGCCACTGTGAATATAGGAGGATTCATCCTCGTGAAATCTCGCAGTCTTTCATCTATGTTGCGAACCGGTGGGTTCTCCCTCTGAACATCCTGTCGATTGACTTGGACAGTCATAGTCTGAGCCTGCGTCATGATATCCTATGCAATCTGGGACAAAGATTCCCTCACCTCAGCATCACTCAACCTAACTGGGTTAACTGGCGTGGCCCCTCTTTCACCTGCAGCCTGCGGTGGATTCTGATTATCCCCAGCAGCTTCTCCCCCTCTCCGCCAACCATTAGCTTTGCTAGTATTCACTCTCTGGAAAATAACAAAGGTTGATGTTATACATGCTCATAACTCCAAGAATTCATACATTAGGAAAAGCATAATAAGATTAGAAGAAGGGAAATTTCCTACGCATCATGCAGTCTCTAATTCAGGATAGTGGTGCACTTCACTACCATGACTTGGAAACTACTCATTGTGGTTGATATGAACTTACTTTTCTTTAGAATTTAACCTAGCGCTCTGATACAAACTTTGTCACGACTGTAATCTAGACCCCCAGATGAGACCGGCATCGTTAACCTTTCAGAGGTCGCAGACAAGCCTACATGCATTATTCATACCCCACCTAGATTAATTTTAGCGGAAAAAATGAAACTTTTTAATCTTTAACATACTTGCTAAATATTCTTAACATTTCATAATCGTTCATAATCAACCATCTAACATTAACGAAATAAGCAACTCAATGAAATAGTTCATTAAGCATTAGTTGTATAATGGAAAAAATGGCACCAATACAAAGTTTGAACCAAAACTGGAAGTGGAACTTGCTCCACTAGCTCAACTCTAAAACTACGCTAAATGTAAAACATGACCCACCAATAATGGTCTTTATATGGCACAGATATGGTGTTGTGTTTCTTGTCAATATTTTGATGGTAAACATAAAAAAACTACTGTAAAAAAGATAAATTAAATAATACCATGTATGACTCAATCTTTTAAAAAAAATTGCATTTATATCTTCTAATGTCCTACATAATTTTTAATTTTTAAAAATAAATTTTCCTTACAAATGTTTCTTGCGGTGCTTTTCCATATACTTTGATGTGGCATATCTTATCATTGTGAATCAATTTGATATTCGTGGACTAATAGGCACAAAAATGTTGTCACCAAAGACAAGAATATAATGCTTATTTGGTGTTCAAGTTTGTAAATATGTGTGATTATAGACTTGAATATGCTAAATCAAGTATTAGGTTTGTTAATTGTGAGAGTGAAACTAATACTGAAAATCAAACCAACAGTGGGCACCATCAAAGATTGCAAGAAAGTGAGAATATCCCGAAAATGAGAGGAGATGGATGGATGGAAGTAAAATTGGGATATTTTGATAGCAAGATATACACAGATGGACTTGTTGAATGAAGACTGTTTGAGATATCATATATACAAAGGTGGACTCGTTGTTGAAGAAGACGAGTTTCGTCAAAAATAAGATGGTTTGAGATATCATATATACAAAGATGGACTCATTGTTGAAGGAGTCGAGTTTCGTCCAAAATTAGACGTGGATATGGGATATTAAGGTTTACATGTTTTGAACGAGAACTCTTTGAATTCTGATTCTGGTTACTATTCAATTTGGCAATTTACAATGGACAATTCATAAACGTTGCATATCCTTTAAGACTATAATATTACTTAATAATTTAGATGTCCTCTTTCTACCTTGTCACCTATATATTTTGGCTTTTAACTTCACCTTTAGAAGGTAGAAAAAGACGAAAAGAAATTATTTCTTCATAAATTCTTGTTATGTTGGATTTTCTTCTCTATTTATTTTAGTTTAGTTTATGTGCTTCTAGTTTTACATTAGAAGAAATATTTTATGAATCTTGTGGATGGAGAAATCTTTTTTTATTTAAACTAATTGATCAATTTAAAATATGTAAAGGAAAGAAAATATGGTGTTATCATTTGGATTTTGTTCCCAAAGATCCATCATGTTCATCTCAATCTTCTTTATGGGATAAAGATAATAAGGTATGAAAATAATATAACCCTATATGATTAATGAATTTGCGTGGAATATTAAGAGAAATGATAATCATGCTAAGTAAAAATAAATTTTACCAACAACATGATATAATTATTGTTGTAATTTCTAAAGTACCAAGACAAATGACAGAGGGTGCATGGGTGATTCTAGCTAATATTCTTTTAGCCTTCAGATCCTTCTAACATTTTGTCCCCCTCTGTCTCTTTGTCCATGTCATAAGCTTCCGAACCTTCCTTAGCCTACAACATTTTTTTTTGTTTTAACTTTATCAAGAACACCTTCTCAGATAACAAACTTTCTAGGGTCTCTTTGTTCTTTTTCTAAAAAGCCATGTGTATTCAATAGATTTTCACCCTATACAATAGGATAACTAATGGAATTACATGATCAATGAGTTGGAAGAATTCATACCCCATGTCTCCGATGCCTCTCAAAGTTTGTCCACATTCTCTTTATGCTTAATTGGATTTATCAATGGAAAATTGAACTTTGTTTCACAATCGCTTTCAGATTCCTCCATTTTAGTTGGTGGAACTTATATTCGTGGCTTTCAGTGTTTCCAGCATCAATATTACATTTTGATACCAGCCTCAAGGCTTTTAAATCTTTTGTTACATGTATAAAATGTGACTTTTTGTCATTACATAAAAAAGTATTAAACAACACGATACAACAAAACTTAAGTTGTCTTTACAAACAAACATTGTATTTAAAGTAATAAGACGATACAATATTATAGGCAATAACCAACATCAAAAGAAAATTTCTCATTTTCATTATAAATTTAGTGATTAAATTAGATTAGATCTTGAAACATTAGAATGCAGAAGTTCCATCTAGGTCTTTCTTACGGATGTACTCACGATAGTCTTTCACTGTAGTTGCATCATACGGTTATCTTCTGACAAAAATTCAGAAATTTGTTCATAAATCTTGGAAGATAAAATTGAATCTATGCGGATGAAGCATGGAACTGATACGCTTGCTAAAACTTTGTTCGCCAATACATTGTGCTAAGGACTTATCATTTCATAAGATCTGAAAAAAGCAATCAAAATAAGCAAATTCTATTATCACTCTTATCAAACATACATGGATTAGAAAAGAAAATAAACTATCCTGCAGATGATCTCCAATGTTGATCACAAAACCACCACGTCTAGAAGGAACATCAACCCATTGATTCTAGTGAATTGCACTTGAAGTCCTTTGATGTGATCTTGTAGAAGCACTGTGTGAAAATCATTGTCAGAATGTTTGTTGGTGCATATGGTGAGTTCTAGCTGAGGGCATGCTGGATAGTAAAGGGACAAAACACCAAGACCCTCCGCGCAATCCATACTTTTGAGATGACAACGATCAAGATCAAAACCTTCAGACAATAATCCAAGCATGGAATAGCCCAACTGCATTATATGCTTAGAGTATACTCAAATTTTAGTATTTCCCTACAACAATTTTGTAAAATTAATGAAACACCGTATCTCCTCTTTTATAACCACATAATACATATTAATATTGGTTGGCTTTCTAATTAAAATTAAATGTAATCTCTCCAATTTGCAGCTGGAATGGAAGGTCTATACAAATAAACATTACTAGCATGAACCGCATTTTTTGTGATATCTCGAGTGTAATATTGTTTCTTAATCTGGAGACTACCATCTTATGGATTAGTAGAATTTCTAATGGGAAGTAGGGGATAATATAAATACATTTTACTATTTATGCACAACACTGTAGTTTATATAAATTCCTAATGTCCACAAAAAGAAGAGGTTATAAACAAGGAGATCATCATTATAAGCTTAGGTCCCTTTCACTGGTCACTGTTTGAACCCACTAAAAAGTTTAAGCCCCACCTATATCTCAAAAAATAGAAGGCTTATGGATGGTACACAAGCAGAAAAAAGCAAAAAAAAATACAGTATAGTTAATTTTGCTGAGAATATATTTACGCATAGGAATAATATTCATGACAAAAAATTTCTTCACTACAATTAATTGTGTTGAGAACAAGAGAGTAACGAGGCACCAAGTTCTTTTAGCATTGAAAGTATGATACTTGAGCTGAGCAATATAGTACCATTTTTTTTGAGAATTTTAACATTTGTTAACCAGAAAAGACTACTATATACTTAAAATAAAAATAACCTTCTTTTATTTTGCACACCTTAAATTTTATACTACTCTCACTTTCTATTTTTGCTCACCGACTATTTTATAACACTATATTTGTGGAATACTGATGAGGTTAATGTATATCGAATTTAACTGCACATACTCTGTCATATATATATATATATATATATATACACACACACCACACACTCTCACACTAAAATGTGTAATTCTCTTTTATTTCTTTGCTTATTGCTTTTTCAAAAATTAGTATCTAACTTCTTCCTTCTTCTTTTTTTGCATCTCTTAAATTAAACATTTACATTTAGTTAAAGCATTTGGTATGAAGCAAAATGCTTCCATGGAAATTATTTTCCAGGAAACTATGCTTTTTGAAAACAAGTTGGTTTCTCAATTATTTTCTCGCTAGGTATTCTACCTGCGCTTCGCGCCTTCGCACGGCTACAAATAATAATTGCATTGAATTTGCAATTCAATTTTATACTAATATCCATTAGTTAAAATAATATAAAATCGGTTCTTAACAAAAATATTTGCAAATTCCAACATGAATATCATTATTTTTCACTATCATATCACCCAAGAACCTCCAGTGAATGAATTATTCACGAAATAATAAATCATTGGTTATTTGATCAACATTAAAAGGAAAATAAAGATGAAAAAAATATGTATACAAATGCATTTCATAATATAAAGAAACATTTAAGTTGCATAGATTGTATAATTGTGATAAATGTCTTAGGAAAAAATTCAAAAACTTGTTAACATATTCGTAAAAACAAATTACCCTTGAACATCAAAGAAATTATAACTTTTGAAATTGCATAATAATTTCTTCAATTGATAAGTGATATTTTTCATATCAATGTTAAAATAGACAATATATTAGCTTATACATAGTAATTTTAAATTATAAAATTTAATATAGAATATCAATACATTGATTCTTGGAATTGAGTAAAATAATTTTTTTTGCTCAATGAATATATGTATTATATGTGTATATGTTCAATATAATCGGAGATAATAAGTTTGAAGAAACATAAAAGCAAAGTTTAAAAAATCTAGTCAAAAACAACATTTCACATCATACACATAAATTAATGAGTGTAAAAAGCATATTGTGATATGTAAAAATTGAATGAAATAGAAAGGGAAAAATTCAGTTCAGTGAATATACAATGTCCCCTTAAGAAAACTATTCCCCTCCAATACCAGAGGTTTAAATAATTACATCCTCTCAGAATGGAACCATTTTATTCACCAACGTATTGATACAAAAATAATGGTGTTAGTAAGTCTTTCAACAGGAGCGAAGTACACAAATATTTAATTTTGCAAAAATAGAAGAAGAAGATCAGATTTTTTGTTGTTTTAAAATGAGACGAAATCCCACTATTTACACAAAAAGGGTAGTGTGATTAACTATTTATTGTTCCTTAAAAAAAGCTTACAACTATTTGGAAATGTCGCAACCCTTCAAAAAGTTCAAATCCCTTCATAAAAGTCATAATTTTTCATAAAGTCGCAACTCTTTATTAACGTCACAACTTTTAATAAAAGTCACAACTTTTCATAATAGTCGCAAGTTTTCATTAAAGTCACAAATTTTCATAAAAGTCGCTACTCTTTATTAAAGACACAACTTTTCATAAAAGACACATCTTTTCTTGGAAGAGGAACGCTTGTTTTGGAAATAATATAAATTTAAAGAGAATCCTGGCTTGTGGTGGTTTCATTTAGGCGGGCCTTGGGTTCTCATTTATACAAAATATATGACATATGATGTTTAGTAAGTGAGTAAAGAATATTTTCTAAGATTTGGTTGGTGAATGAAAAATATTTTTTTATTTTTATTAGAGTTTCGGAGTAGAACCCAACTCTGCACCCGACCCGACTCTCGACTCCTAGTCTATGACTCAACTTCTAAATGATATTCAACTTTCAAATTGAAACATGATGCCTACCCTAGCTAACAATTTAAGATCCAGTCCTACTACTAAATCAAGTCCTTAATTTTAGACCAAGAGCCGACGCCAACACCTAATCTATGATTCAATGCGGACACCCTAACATGAGACCGAACATATGAACTATGATCTGGATTTTGGATAACAACCCAATTTACCCTTGCACTCAATCAATTATATGACTTCAGAATTAGGATATGACTATGAAAACAGAGTTAGGGAGCAGCCCGAACACCTGATTCAAAACCCAGTTTATGAACTATGATCCAACCTCAATATCCATTCTCTAAAATTTATCAAGGCTCGAACCCGTCACCTGATCTTGTACCCTACCTCAACTCTTGGCCCGAACCCCAACTCAGACACTCACCAAAAATCACCACCACAGCACCCAACCTAAAATTTGACACTGAATGCTTACCAATGAGGTCCCTCAAAGCAAGATACATATGGATGGTCTCTCCCCTGCAATAGTTCATAAAAAATAACTTCAAGATAAAAAACATTATCTAGTGAGATAAAAATATCAATATACAGATGCATGATATACCAACGTGTCCTCCAGACAATATGTCACTATATCTTTATCAGAGAATCATATGTTGTAAAACACGTCCCTCAAGTGTTGAGGACCTAAAAGGTATTAGTGAACAAAGTAAGTTATATGCAACATCCAAATAATATGTTTCAAATTTAGAACACTAATTAAATTGTAGAGCACTGTCGGAAATTACTTCAAGGTAGCTAGCAGCCGGATTAGTAATATTTACAATTTTAACTATAGGATATCACCATATTAAGTTCAATGTCATTGTTCATAACATTCAAGATCTCCAATAAAGTGGAACACATATTACTCACCTTTACAAAAATTTCTTCCATAATAATGAAAAATATGTTTACAGTAAGTAGTAGCAGATCGAGGATTGTTATTAAGGTGTGTCAATAGTTGTAGTAAAAAAAATAATTATGAGGATTATATTAAAAATGGATGAGACTCCTTAAAGTGTAGAATTCAATTTTCGTACTTCCTCCTCCTAAGGAATCTTTTAATAGTCTTTATCTTTTCTAGGTCTTGTATAGATTCTTTTTACTTAGTAGTCATATGGTCTATAATACGATATACAATTTTCCATATTTTCTCTCGCTTCTTTATGGTTTATGACTGATTCTAAACTCCCACGAGTTGATTTTTTTTGCTAAGTCATCGAAATGGCCCCCAATACTTGTGTGAACAATGTTGATAGAGTCAATAACCCCATCACTGTTGTGAAATTCAATCCTATGACCCAACTGCCCATAAAATTAATTAGCAGTCATAACTTTCCCTATGGAAAGCTCAAGTTTCAATGATTACGCGTTATCACAATCTCTATGGGCATCTCTATGTCTCCAACCCTTCCCCCACTCATGCCATGTCGCAAAACAATCAAGATGTTGAAAAACCTTAGTTCGTTCTTTGGTACCGCCAATATTAGTTATTTCAAAATGCTATCTTGGCCTCTGTTGATTCTATAATTCCGCTACTGTTGCAGTTGCAATATCCGCCAAAGCTGCCTGGGATGCTCTGCATACTGCGTATGCGAAAAGATCTCCAACAAGAATTTTCAGCTTGCGAGACCGACTGTGTAATACTCCAAAAGTATAAAGCCTAATCTAGATCCTCACATGAGTTTCTAAGTTCTATAACACTATTTTAAGGTAAAAAATAATGTATATAAGTCATTGGGGAAGCTTTAGAGTCAAGACATCAACGAACGTCCATGACGTCCGGAGAATAAGGCAAAGGGTGCTAGTGTGCCTAAGCCTATTTGAAAAGGTCTTAAGAGTGGAAAACTGATGAAATTTGGTGTAAGGTGTCTAAAATGTATTAGAGTTAAGTTAGGGTCGAAATATTCGGTTATGACCCCCAAAGGACCACCCAAAGGGTCTTTAAGGATTACCCTGCCATTTGTGGCTAAAAGCTATCACGAGACAGGAGCCATCAACAAAGGTAGGTGATGAGGCGTAGGTGGATCGATGAGGGAGTCGATGACTTCTTCGATGAAGACTTAGCCATTTTATAAAAATGGACATTTTTTCAAGTCTTAGTCGCAAATGACGAACCTGCAGGACGGTTGGTCCCAAGGTCCGTCGACCGACCTATGGCCTGTAGGTCGAGGTCTCGTAGGTCAGGTCTGCAACTGTTCTGTGAAATTTGAAGTGGTGTCATTTAGTTATTTAGGTGGATAGTTAATTATTTGGGAGTTAAGGGAGGTCTATTTAAGTTAGTTAATGGCTTATATAAAGACCTAAGC